TCCCAATCAAGTCATTCTTCACCATTGGGATGTTTGCCCAATAACCTGGTTGCATTGCACATTTTGTCTTAAACTAGAGGAGGAGGAAACCGGAAACCCTTCACAGAACAGTGGCAGAGAGACAGAACATGTACAAATTACACGCAGAAAGTGCCCGAGTCAGGCAATCGAACCCAGGCCCTTCTTGCTGAGGAAGCGCGAGTGTCAACCACTGTGCTGCCTCCCAGCCTGTTGCCCAAAGGGGATAACTTTGCGTGTCTGTGATGCTTTGCATGAAGGGGTTCCTCCATGTGGTTGTTGTCCATGCCCAGCTCTTTAGTCCATCCACTGGCTTTACAAAGGCATCCCCACGCCATTGTGGTCGCGCCATGGTTATTTTGTTTCGTCCTTTTTGTGTTTTAGTTTGTTGTCCCCCCCTCCCCGCAACTTTTGATTTGTACGGTGGTGAAAATTCCACATTTCTATCGCGGGTTTATTTAACCCAAAAACCTTTATGAATATTGGTCGCGAAAGCCTACGTGTTAAATTTAACGACGCATTTATATTCACGCGATCCAACCCAACAAACCTTTATTATGGGTTGTTATTGCTTGAACATAACACCATATATAAGAACTGCTTTTTGTGTTCAGTTTGTTTTCCTTCCCCCCCTCCTCCCACGCAACCTCTGATCTGCACAGTTGGCTAACGCAACATACATACATACGTTCGCACATGCTGGCCAGCGTGGGTAGATGAAGGTGGGGAGTGTCGGTGCGGTAGTATATAAGTACAGAACACGCCGTTTTGCTACACACCACGTTGCTGACTCTGCGGGGCTAAGTGTGTTTGATGATGACAGAATTGGCCAGTTCGCAGAGGTGGCGTGCTCCTAAGGGATCTCCAAACCCAAGTGCGCTCCCAGCCGGACGAGTGATAGGATGTAAACTAAAACTAGAAACTGTTTTAACAAGTAGTAGGCTTTCATGGAAAATATTATCTATAATAGATGTGTTTTTTGGGTTAGATTGCGTAAATAAGACTGAAACAGAATTTCTCCACAATTCTGGCTGTCGCCTGATGAGGCGAAATGTCATGGTACTCAAATTGTAAATGTTGTGGACTTACTCTGCTACACACCGGGAAATGTATAGCAGTGGCCAAATACTCTAAACGCAAGTCGATTCTAAATATGAAGGGAGAAAATAGTAGCACCCGGATAAAAATCCACACGACCATGGGGAGAGAGATGCGAAAACTCCAAATACAGTGGATCGCTCGGTTTACTATACCATCGATTAACGATATTTCAATTTAATGATCTGCCTCCCATAGGGATCCCCCATTGTTTCTATGAATGATACATTTTCGATTAACAGTATGTATCTTCTTTGGTTATTTCGGTAAAGTCACATAGAATGAGAATAAAATAATAAATTGATAAAATAAAATAACACAATAATATTCTCACGACATTTCGGCCACAACACAAGCGGCCTTCATCAGGTGAAGGGACGAGACTGTCTGGTAGGACAGAATATTATTGTGTTATTTTATTTTATCAATTTATTACTTTATTCTCATTCTACGTGACTTTACCGAAAGAACCAAAGAAGATGAATCATTGCAGTCACAAAAGCTTTAAATCGAAACAGTATGTATGTTCATGATATCACACGGGCCGCCAATTTCGGCCAATTGGAGTGGTCCTAGATGGACTCGGCAGACCTCAGCCAATCAGCGATGCCCTTTTATAGCATTTTGAGAGCAACTCTTTTTCTGGTAAAAAAGGTCTTGGAACAAATTAAGCCTTAAACATATATTTCCTATATTCGTTTAACAATAATTTCAATTAAAGATGGTTTTCGTGGAACCAATTAATATATCGTTAACCAAGGGACCACTGTATATAGCTGGCATCAGCGTCGGGATCAAACCCACGACCTCCTCTATACCAGGCAAGGTCGTTTACATTTCCTAGCCACAAGCACCAAGCTGACAATGCAGCAACTCGCTCCATCAGGGGCTCATGGCCCCCCCTTCAGCCGCTGGGTCCAGCGATCAGAATCTCTCCTCCACCCCCTTCCATCGCAATTCCACGTCCGGGTGCACCCGCCACATCTGACCCCGGCTTGGCGCTTCACTCAACAACGGCAAGGGCTGAGTGCCACTTCCACCGCCAGAGTGTTGCCAACGAGGGCTGTCGCCATCTCTTGCCGTGTTCCTTCATGGAGGGGGAGTCGAGATAACAACAAAGTGAACCGAATTGCCGTCGCCCAAGCAGTTCAAGGGCACCTGTGGCTCTGTCCCTCTGATGTCTGCTTTCCGTGGTGGGGAAAACTCAAGCGACTGAGTTTGCTCTAAAATAATTTAAGCAATACAACTGCTCAACCTGGGCTATGAGTGCTCTAATTATGTGCATTATCATTGTGTAATATAGCTCTCAGAGACACCATCTTTCTCAGTTATATGTGTATTTATTATGAATAAAGTCCGCCGACTCACTGACAGCTTAACGAGTAACCGCGAGTGGCTAAATACACTTGGGTAACTTCGATAATTCTATTCTGAGACAACATAACTCTAGCCTTCCAAGACTACAAGGTGCCCACTCCAGGATGATGAAGACGACCCGCTCCAAGGTGACAATGACGACGGCAGTTCCCCCACAACAGCAGCCCAGAGCCCCGGTTCACGCCGGCTCTTATACCCCTCACGACCCGGCCACGCCCCTATTCCCGAACCCTCTCTCACCACACCTGGCCCTGTCTGTCTCTGCCCTTATTACAATTTACGACCATTAGGTCCCGTGCTTACCCTCACACGACCCTGTCAAAGATTGTGGCATCAATCATTATTAGCGACCACTTAGGTCCCACATTATCCTAACGTGACCCTGTCTGTTCCTGTTACGTGAATTAGTAACCATAGCGGTCCTGGTTTACACAATTTCAAATTAACCTCTTTCAGGCCGAACTATACGCAATGCAATGCATAACCAATGTTTTAGGATCGAAGAGCAGAAATATAAATAATCCTACATCTCAGAAGTACAATGAGAACAACAATACCACAAGAATCCATATAACGAATGCGACGTGAACTCCCACGATCATCACAACAAGCAACGGACTTTCGAACATTAATAATCATGAAGAGTTGACATCTTCCAAATGGACACCCCCCCTCCATTAATAATAATTAGCGGGTGACGTCACTCCACATGGGGGGAGGGGGGCGAGGCACCTCCTCCCCCCTCCTCAGCGTCAACTTACAACCCTCACGTCACGCGATCTCCGTAACGCTATTGAGACATAAAGCAAAAAGTACGGCATGATGAACAAGGGATTATAACCTTTAAATGAAATAAGTCTGTGTCACCGCGGCCTTACGAATGGCACACAAATTGATGCAATGAATATCACGTCGCGGTCTGCTTTTCGCTTGCAAGTTTCAGATTCACTGAAATACACCCGTCCTTGGACGGGCAAAAGGCTCGGACAAAAAATATTCTTCCATTGAATTAATTTCCTTTCAGGATGGAGCATAAACATGTGTTTTCTCCAGAGTCGTGTCTTGCGTATAGGTTAATATTTAAAATGCAACACGGTTATACAAGGTCCGTGTCTTTTGTATGTCAGTGGGAACTTCCGTTTAACGTTACCAGTGAGGATGTGTGATGTGCGTTTGTGAAATAAAACGTGTTAATTACTGTACACTGTATGCGTTTTTAACTTCTTTCGCACCATGCATAGCCAACCATGCTAATCGGAGGTGCAGGGGAAGGACAACAAACTAACACAAAAAGCAGTTCTAAGAAAATAGTTTTCAATCTATATGATTTAAAAGTACACAGTTCCAGTGGCTTCCGAATATCGGAAGAGCATTCCAGACGGCTGCAGAAGCACATCTGAAAGCGCGCGATGCGGTGACCGTCTTTGTTCGATGGCTAGCCAAAAGCCGCCGCTGTGAGGATGACCGGAGTTCACGTGATGATTATGTTACATATTTTTTTGTAGTCTTGTCAATGGGAACAGTGCGAGAGTGCTGAGCACACTGCAACCTCAACTTCACAGAGCAGTGCTCATTTTATAGCCACACATGTAATGCACCACAGTACTTCCTCGTTATTCACGAACTTGCTATATCCGCTATTTTTTCTATCCGCGAATCGCATCTAGAACTCTACACGACTACTGTATCGAGAGAGAAAGAAAGTGATGAGCTAAAGAGATGAGAAAGTGATGATACATAGCATCATCATAATTTAAGGTAATTTTGTTTATAAACTATTATTTCATACTTTTTTATCTACATGTTTATTATAACCTATTTATTTTTTTGTTGTGTTATTGTGATTATTTTCATGTATTTAATAGCTTATGTATTTATTTAATGTAATCCATCATACGCGAATTGTGCTTTTCACAAGAATCTCTGGAACGTATCTCTCGTGAATAACGAGGTGAACACTATAAATCTGGATTTGGCCTACCCTCGGTTGGCTCAGCCTAAAATGAATACCTGGGATGGTGGTGTATCATCATCTGCATAGCAGAGAATAGGAAGGGCATGAACACCACCGCCAGCGTGTGAGTGCCATTCCCAAAGTCATAACTACTTGCTAATTGTACAGGAAGTCCTGGACTTAGGAACGCCCAACTTACGAACACCCGTACTTACGAGCAGCTTACATGGAATATACATTTTTTATTGACTTATAACGCGAAAATGGAACCACGGAACTATTTTGTTCAGAGGAGCGATCCTCCGCGAGGTGTAGTGAGTCGGCCTCCCGCTGGGAATGAGTGTTTGTGTGTGTGTGCGCGTACAGGTGTTTATGTGTGCACAAAGGTGGCCGGACATGGTGCTGACCACCCACCCCCTTGTGTGTCACGGTGCCGGTCTTCATAGAAGCGCTATTCGCGACTAACAACACTTGCCCCAACAGTTTGTTCACGGCTCTAGGGGGGACAGGAGCAATCTTTGTATTTGTTTTTAATTGCGTATTTCATCCACAGGCCTGATCATCCACGAGGGGCCAGCAATATATCGCATCTTCAAGCGCTGGCGAGCCGTAAACCAGCGGTGGAAAGTGCTCAACTACGACAAGATCAGGGACAAGTCGGACACGGCAGGCTCCACGACCACGACGGCAGTGATGGCTGCGACGACAATATCCTCAACCGCGACGGCAACAGCGGCGGCAACCACGACCCCGGCATCGGCAACGGTAGCCACGGCCGTGGCGACCCGAGCCACGAGCACGACAGCGGCGGTGGCGAACGGAGCGCAAGGGAACGCCCCGACGGCTCCTTCCTTCCTACGCCGGAGGATTCGCGTCCTCGGAGTCTTCTCGGGCCCATTCGGATTCCACCACCACCACCACCATGGCACGCCGCAACACTACGGCCACCACCAACGGCGAGGGCACCACCACCTCCACCACCACCACCTACACCACCACCACCTCCTCCACCACCATCACCACCTCCTCCACCACCACCACCACCGGAGCGGCCCACGTCTCGGCCTGGGCCTCGGGCCGGGCATGGGCGCAGGCCACGGCCGCTGCACCCACCCACTGCTGCAGATGCTACAGAGGCTGCGGCAGTGCAACCGGGGGGGTGGGGGGGACCGGGGCGCCCGCGCCCGTCGCGAGCTCGTCATGAGGGTCACCACTGTGTAGCCACTGTTGCCGCCTCACACGCGGCTGAGGGCCCATGGGGAGTCGTTGGCAGCCCACCCTCGTGATCGCCTCTAAGGTGGGGGGGGCTGACTTCGCCGGAAGGGCTTGCCAGTGGCCGCTACCATGGACCGAAGTTTTGCAGTCGCTCCAGAGTGAACGTTTGAGGTGGTGTAAGCGCAGGTTGAGAGCATTGGCTCTCAGTGGCTAAGCCACCATGCCGAGACACCGCCACGACCACCACTCACTAAGATCAGGAGTTGAATTCCAGGCTCCTACTCGAAACAGAGTTGGATTGTCCTTTGTGGTAGTTTCAGCCATCGCCAAAAATAGGTCCCGGATGTGCACGCGTGCAGCACACGAGACGGCGCATGCGCGTTTGCACGCAACCCGAGCGTAATGAAAACCCGCAGGAGTGCCGGATACATGGCTGCCAGCAGGAGAGGGGCCACCAATTAGCACGTTTTAGCTATGTAAGGTGCGAAAGAAGTTAAAACGTGCGTCCATACATACGGAGGCTCATCGGAGAGACATCCGAAAGTGGCTTCTGTGGTGTCTCTGTGGTGCAAGGGTGCTTCAGGTGATGCTCCGTGATCTCCGGACGGTTCCAGAAACAGATTCCTTCACTTCATGCGGTGATGTTAGCCCATGGGAATAGTACAGCGTGGGTGACCTGTAACGCATTGGAGGCCACGATTTACATGCGACACAATTATTTAAATGATGGAAAGGTGTGGCGCTATTAACGGTATTGGTCGTGATGACCTCTTGAACTTGATTTGACCCATTTAATATGTACACTGAAAGGAGGATATGTAATGGTTTACATTAATATTGCAAAAAAGGATAAACCAATGCTTGCAAAAAGGTATTTTTGTTGATTATATGAAAAGACACGACATTTAAGGCATATCGCTACTGCTGTGCACGGGATTGTGGGTCACCACTACAGCTACATGGCTGTCTAGGTTTTATGTGCATAGTGGGCAAGTGGATTGTTTACCCACACATGATGGAAATGCATTGATTGTAAAATTCCTGAACGCGTTTGTATATACCACAGGCAGCCCGTTCACAGAGAGTATTTGTTAAAAAAAAAAGTTCAGGCACAGAAAAGAGGGTAACTAGCTGCTCAACCCGAGCCATTCACGCTTTTGTGTTTCTATTGTCCTTGTACTGCTCACCCTTTGGTGGCCTTTGTTCTAAAGCACTGGAGGTGAGACGAAGCCATGGATGAAGCTGTCTCTGGTGTAGGCCAATCAGTTTCAAGGGCAATGCTTACATTACACTATGTAACAGAATTTTTATTCCTGGGTAGTAAGTGTTATTTCCTAATTGCATGTGCCTAAAAAGTATAGAAAATGGCTATTATTCCCCACTAACTTTGCTTTTGTAACCAGGACAGTGATATTTAGAAATGTACCTATTTTTACATGAAGTAAAAAAAGCATATGAATCAAAATTAACATTTATTCATCCTAACGTAATACAAAAATTACCACAAACGATTTAGAAGTGAGTCGTTTTTCAAGATTTACGATTATACTGCAAATCACTTTCAACAATCAGCCCCCAAATGTAGTCTCCATCATGTTCTCCTTATATTGTCCTTGGTAGCAGCGTTCAAAGTCCAGTATATCCTGGTGGAAGCGCTTGCTTTGCTCCTCTGAGTACGCTCCCATGTTCTCCTTGAATTTCTCAAGATGAGCATCAAGGATATGGACTTTGAGGGACATCCTACAGCCCATTGTGCCGTAGTTCTTCACCAGTCTCAACCAGCTCCAGGTAGTTTTCGACCTTGTGATTGCCCAGGAAGCCACGAACCACTGCGAAAAAGTTGTTCCAAGCCGCTTTCTCCTTACTAGTGAGCTTCTTGGGGAATTCATTGCACTCCAGGATCTTCTTTATCTGTGGTCCGACGAAGACACCGGCTTTGACCTTTTCCTCAGACAGCTTAGGGAAGAAGTCTTGAAGGTACTTTAAGGCTGCTGACTCCTTATCTACACCTCTGACAAATTGTTTCATAATGCCCAAGTTGATGTACAGTGGTGGCATCAGCACCAGTGGCTCCCACTTGACGTTGTTCCTCCCCACAGAGAACTCGGTCCGCTGTGGCCAGTCCCGCCTGTGGTAGTGCGCCTTGGTGTCCCTGCTGTCCCAAAGGCAAAGATAGCAGGGAAACTTGCTAAAACCGCCTTGGAGACCCATCAGGAATGCCACAATTTCATAGTCTCTGATAACCTCCCACCCGTACTCATTATACTTCAAGGCATCCAGCAAGGTCTTGATGCTGTTATAATCCTCTTTGAGGTACACTGAGTGAGCCAGGGGAATTGAGGCTCCTGGATGAGCTGTCAATGAAGAGGCGCCACTCATTCTGGTTACAGGCCATTCCAATTACCTCGAACAGACTGGTCACATTGTGGCAGCAGAGCCAATCTTGACAGGTGAAGAAGCTGCAAAAAGGTTGGTGACGCTTCCTCTGATGTGCGACTTGCACACTTTCATCCAACAAGTTCCACTGCTTGAGCCTAGATGTTAAAAGCTCAGCATTGGACTGGGTGAGACCAAGATCTCTGATCAAGTCGTTGATGTCTTTTTGGTTGTGGTAGTATGGGTTTCTCTCCTCAGCTCCACCTCTGAAATTGTCGTCTGGATAGCAGGTGCATTCTTGCCAGTCCGACGTTTGGAAGGGTCCACCATGCAGAAATAGCAGTTGCTTGAGTGGTCAGTGGGTTCCCGCCAAATTATTGGGATAGCGAACTTCATGTCTCTCTTTTCCCCTCTGTACCATCCAACAAAAATACATGTATTTCAGCCATGACTAATGTGTAAGAGATTTTCACAACATTTTTCATATATGATGTATTTTTTCAATAACATTGAAATTGTAAAACATTTTAAAATTATAAACTTTAACAAATACAAAATTTGTACAAATTTTATAACATAAAATTCTGAGCAACAATTGTCCATCTTACCTTCCAGAGTTTTTTTTTTTGCATTGCTCACAGGTGAAATGAGGTGCCCATGGTTTGTCTTGATCCCCTACAGGCATGCTGAAATATGCCTTGTAGGCCTCACACATCTTAGCAGATACTTCCACAGAGTTCTTTTTCGCTATTGTCTTGATAAATTGGCCGCAGACAAAGCAAAATGTATCTGACGGATGCTTGCAGCCTCTTGATGCCATCTCAGAAAAATGCAGATATGTATCCACTTAGGCAGCTGGAACTGAACTGGTGGGCTTAAGTCCCCTCTATTTATATTATTTATATTACCGGAAAGTTATAGAATGTACTAGAACTTACTCGAAGTTTACTCAGCACTGAATCTATCTGGAATTTTCTCATTGAACATAGGTAAATTTCAAAATATCACTGTTCTGGTCACAAAAGCATAGTTTGTGGGGAATAATAGCCATTTTCCGTACTTTTGAGGCATAAGCAATTGGGAAATAACACTTACTACCCAGGAACAAAAAAGAATAAAAATTAGTATCACAGTGTTATCAAAGCAAATCTTGTTTTGCTGGGTTTTTTTTACTTTACCACAAGTGTGTGGTAATACGGTCTGGTTCTCCTATAACGCAGCAGTTGTTGCGTTTCGGAAGAACACCGCGTGATGGAAAAATCGCGTGATAATATATCATATATAGGGTAAAGCACAGTTCGCGATTACACGTGAGATATGTACGCAGGTTGAACAAATACTGAGGAGCATGGGTAGCATCTAGAAGCACCCAGCAGCATCCCCATTACTTGTGTGATGCTACGCCGAGGCAACCGCACGACCGCTTTTTCCTACTCGTGCGCGACGTTGTTCACTCAATCGCGTTATATCCAATTCGCGTTATAAAACGCGATATAGGAGAACAGAGTGATGTCTATTTGGTGTTTGAAAATAAATCGTAACACCTCCTGTATTTATGCCAGAGAGGGTAAAGCCTTGTTTCATCATTAAATACCTTGATACTGCCGAAAGGTTCCCTCAGATATTGTACCAAACTCCGTGCCATCTCTTCATCCGTCCTTAGGGCTGACAAAAACAACAGCTGGAAATCGAAAAGTGATTCTGGTGTGACTGTACTCCGTTTTTATGCGTGGCAAAATACAAGCCAGCAGTTGTCAAAAAAAAAGTTAAGTTTATACACCAATGTCTCACGTATATCAGAGTGTAACCGCACCTTCTGGCGGCAAATATACAGAAAAGGAAATCACTTGTGATGTTGCCATGAATATTGAGATGCCATCACGCTGCCTACAGGGAGTGACTTCTATGACCTAACAATACAGGCGTACCTCCTATAACGCTCAGGATGCGATGTTGGTAAACGGTGCTCTGTATGAAGCGGCGCTATGAGAGGTCACTATAACATGGTTTCAATGGAGATGCGTTACCGACCGATATTTTTCACCTATGAGCGATATAGGAGGGCTTCATTGGTGTATTGGTAATAAGCCTTAATAATCACACTGTACACATGATACATGTATTAAAGCACTTTATAAATAAAAATAATAACTTTTTAATGATAATTATATAATAATAAAAAGTTGTGTGCTCACCAGTCCATTCGGTCAGAGCTTGCGTAAGATTAACCACCGTCTGCCGTAAACATGTCCCTCCGACAGACGATCCATGGATCGTCAATGAATCGATGCAGTTATTAACCTTAGAATCGATACTGTAACGTGGCTGTCGGGTTGAGAATACATACAATGGACACCTCGATTCGGACTCCACAAGACCATATATGGGCAGAGACACGCCCCTACAGGCAACGCCACGCCCAATGGCGGAGCCAGGATTTTCAGGTAGGGGGGGAAGCCCCTCCAACAATGAAAATTGATAGGAGTTGTAAGTAAGGACTTGTCCCTTGCTTTTTATTCGATGCGTGTGCGGTGATGACGCAGCCATCGATCGAGGGTCGAATTCGAACCGTCTGTGATCGGCATCGCGCTCGCTGAAGGTATTCCTTCAGGGAAATCGTGTACCGTATACGCAACTGTGCACAATTCTGAGTCACTTATAACTACTTTGCCGTTACTTATTGTCAATTATGGACTCAGACTATTGTCCTATCATCTCATAGAGTCCCTGTCATGTAATAATATGCTACACAGTGGCAGTGGGGGTCGCAAAATGCCGATCTATTACTAATAAACCCCAATGATCCGATCGAAATTACGGATTTCGATGGGACCATTGGGTGGGCATGTGCCCCCCCCCCCCCCCACTGGCTCGCCAGTGGCCACGCCCACTTTATACCATACATGGGCTCTGGGACAAACGGTGTTATAACGAAACAGCGTTATAGGGGGGCAGCGCTATGAGAGGTACGCCCGTATTCTAGTCCTGGTAAATAGGACACAAGCGAAATGAGCACACACTGCGGAGACAATACTTTATAAAACAGAGCCTTTTTTGTTATTCCGGTACAAGGTCGGGAATGTGTGACAGAATCCTGACTTTGATAACAAAATTAGTCTCCGAGGTTCATGGGACATTACCATTTTATATCGCCTATTTCATTTACCAGGGTTTACAAGCCAGCATTAGAGAGCACAAGTGCAAAACAGAACGCCTTCAATTCATACAATGCCAGGTACAAACCTTTTTGCATGTATATCACAAAGCCATCAGTGTTTTATAGAGCACAACAGGTAGTTTTTTTTCAAGGACATCATCGCCTCTTGAATTGTGGCACCAATATTTAGTTTGTTTCTGTGTTCCCAGCGAGCGGAGGATTTGTTTACAAGCACATCGAACACCGCGTGCGTGCCATGGACAACCCTGATGGGAAGTGTACAGCAAAACCCCTCTCTT